CCCCCCCCCCCCCCCCCCCCCCCCCCCCCCCAAGATCTTCATGGAGCCATACGTGATATCCGAGTGCGCGGAGAGGCCGAATTTAAGTTTGCGAGTGGTTTTATGTGGGCAAGTGTATTACCGCAAATTTTCAGCCCCCTGGCTTTCGTCGTTCCCGATATAATAACTTTCTGCGCCAAAACTCCCGCAGGATTGTAAGTAATACCCAGGAGCGGGAGGAGACTGAAATTTAAAGCTGGGGAGTAGCAAGTGGGCAGCGGTCATTTACTCTAAAATTTCCTGTTCCAAATTTTCATAATTCCCGGGATAACAACTTTGCTTTCCAAAATTTTCACGGGATAGTACGCGGTAAAGGGAAGGCTGAAATTAAATTTTCTGGGCCCCACGTGGGCGAGGAACAATCCCCCAAAATTTCAGCCTTCTAGCTTTTGTGATTTCCGAGTTGAAAGTTATGGGCAAGATGCATCAGACATACAAATACACACAGACAGCCTCGTGACGACATGCGTTTTGTGCAGCTGTTGCACAGCACAAAACGTATAAAAAAACTGGGAAAGAAGCTTTTAAAATCAATTTTGCTGTTCACAACAATTGTCATGCAAAACAGTGACACTAAAGAATTTGGCTGATGCAAGACGCTAACTTAACTGAAGTATTTACCAGTAAAAAGTAACCGCTGTTGCATGAAAAACTGACAAGAGCGGAAGGGAATTTACGCCGGAAAAGTACTAAAATGCGTTTCACCTATTGCACATTTCCAGTGCACGTGAAGACAGTATAGTCTGTAGTCTGCGTGCTGGTTGAAAGCAGAATCATGAATTCTTGGCATTATCTCTCTTTGGAAATTAAGGAAGTCTAACTTTGAATTTGAGGCTGCAGCTCAGCACACAGCACGGTCTCACTACTAAGTCAATTGTTTTTATTCTGCCTCGTTCGTGGGGCTAAGTCTCGGAGATGATGACAGTCCGAGAGTTAAGAAATGGCACTAACCCAATATGAACCACGACTGTTCAGAAGCCAGCAACACATTTCAGAAAACTGATTTTAAATTGCTCCTCCCACACTGAACTAAACTCCTGAAATTTATGCTTCGTAGCATCTCCCGTTCACAATTTAATATGTCGGATGGACTCTGAACTTCACACCAGAGGCCAACACGGAAAAGCGGTAGTGAACAGAATCTGCTTTCGAGGGATCTATACGGGCGAAAACTACACCCTCGAAATCCTAGCTTCTAAGCTTATAGAGTTCCTGAAACTGATTTTTTAAAAAGAAAGGCAAGCACACACACACATACACACATATGTACACACACATACGCACGCATATACACAATATGCAATTTATGTACAGCATCGAAGACTTGAGAATAAATGGAAAACAAAATTCCGCTTGGTGAAAAAAGCTTGCTTTTTCTTTTTTTTGCAGAAACGCTGTTTGGGCAGGTTACTAGAAACCAAGGCTGATATGAACTGTGAAAATTAGAGACACCAAAGTGTGCATTCTTAACAGCAAAACAGAGGCAACCTTCCCAGCGTACCGGACT